TCCAGGGAGTCAGGTGACGGAGACGGAGCCAGAGAGCCCGGTGACATTCAGCTGAGGAAAAAACACGCCATCAGTGATAAAGTGAGAGCTCCTTACACTTAAACACCTTCAGACTCAGGTCTGCATTAGAGCCAGGTGAGGCTGGATTAAATGTACACAGGCCACAAAGGTCTTTTTAACCATTTATGGCACAGGTCATCTAATGCTGTCCTCTTAGGAGACCTGCAGTCTCACTGGCATTACAGTGTTGATGTGATATTCATCATTTTCCACTCGTGATCTTTTCATAGCTCAGACACTCGGAGGCTGTAACAGTGGCTTTGGAGGAGGTGGTGAGGAACCAGACAGACATGTTGACGTGGCCTCTGACTGGTCTGCAGGATGCAGGTAGAACAGATTCAAATTATACTCAATAATACTCATGGCTCTGCGCTGGCGATAGGCAGACCGAAGGCATAATGTTTTTGGGTTGTCCCATTGTCATGGACAGGATATCTTAGTATCACCTTGATGGAACTTCAAGTTTGCAACAAATGTCCACTTGGACTCAAGGATGAACGAAATAAATTCAAAGGTCAAGGTCACGGTGACCTCACAGAATGTGGTTTTGGCCTTATTAATGAAATATGTCCGTGACGCCTTGAGGGAATTTTTTTCAATTGTGGTGCAAATGTTCACTTGCACTCAAGGACAAACTTATTTGATTTTGGTGGTCAAAGGTCAAAGGTCGGTGTGACCTCACAAAACACTTTAAGCCACTTTTCACACAGCAATTATAACAAAATTCATACAAGTGGTTAATGTTTTATATGACTCTGGATAAACAGGCATGTAATCGTCTGAGTGTTGGACAGAGACAACCATGAGGCAGTAATTCTAGTTATAATGTAATGTAGAGAAATACACAGAATGATGGGCCATAATGAGCCAATAGATCCCACTGTTTCCAGCAGGTGATGAGCACACTAGTGTCAGCTTGGTTTCAGATCGAGGACAACCATAAAGAATGATTATCATTTATTGTAGGTGTCTGTTTTCAGGCAGGTATCATGATGCTCTAACACAGATCCAGAGTGTACTGACTGAGGTGCTCACCAGACAGCATCTGGAGAAGAATCATCTTTCCCAAACATACCGGTCAGTTCAGGAGCTTCTCTCATCCTTCACCCAAGTGAAGCTTTCATTTTCAGAACATGGCAGAAGCGAAAGTTAATAGGCCTAAGTAGATTCTGCAGTATACAGTGATCTGCTGCCTGACACAAACTGCTGTGCTCATGATTACAGGATGACACTAGAGGAGGTCTGAAGTGGAATCTGAACCACTACACCACCTCTGATTTTTAATCAGACTAGAAGTATAGGCAGGTCTCTACACCAGGATCAAAGAAATTACACTTGAACTTTCTTCAGATGAGATTTTAAGACTTAATGATGCGAAAATTATTTTTTGAAACATTAGTTTTGATGAAGATAAAGTTTCAATTACAACCACAAATCTGAGGACTCAACAGCTTCAGTGGTCAGACAGATTCAGCTGTAACTACCATAGTTGTGCAAACATGCACATGCACATTGTGGTTTATTGTGCTTCATTGTGGTTTACTGTGGTTTATTGCTGTGATGCTGTCCTTTGTGCTGTCTTTATATTGTTTTGATAGACATGACTGCCGCACTAAAGGTTGCTTTTATCACTGTGCTCACCTCTTACCTAAATAACAGCAGTGCTGTTTGATTCTCACTGCAGGACTGTGTCTGACTCCCTTCGGCGACATGTGTTGAAAAGTCAGCTTGTGTCTCTAGCTTCATGTCAGAGGAACTTAGTGGAAATCCTCCAGAAACAAATGCATTTGGTGGAGGTGTATGTATCTGTGAAGGCCAAACTGTCCAGTCAGCCTTCCAACCATGGAAGCAGTGCAGCAGTGAGACAGCAGCCACATAACTTCTCCACACCGGCCTCCTCTCAACCTGGGGAAGAACACAGCCGTAATCAAGACAGGCAAAGAAAGGAAAGGCGTAGACCGGTGACGCCATTAAGATCGTCACCTCCAAACAATGCCAAGGAAAGCTGCAGCACCTCACAACCAGGAAATACTGTACACAGGAAACACATCAACTTTCAGATGAAAGGAAAGAATGCACTGATACAGACACAAGCTGAAGACAACAGCTTACACCTCTGTAAGCTCATACAGAGGGGAGTCCTGCCACCTGGAAGTGCTCTACAGCTGCTGCTGAAGGTCAGGCAAAGCTCTTCATGAGACCTGTTTCATCCCTGTGTAACAGCTTGTTCTCTTTAAACACAATATTTATCAAGAACCTGGAAATAATTAAACCAAATGTCTTGATAAGAGGTATGTGCTTAACATGGATACAGTCTACACTTTTCCTCAAACTCCATGACAATGACTCCTCTACAGTACCATCAGATGTTGAGCATTTGATTGTTGAATGACAGTCCGTCTGATACTGTAGTGAGAGAACACATCCTTGACTCCAACAAAAACCTTTGTTTGCACTTTGTCCTAAAAAGACAATAAATCAGTGACAACACACAAACTGTCATCCCACATTGCAACAGCACAAGTGCTACTGCTACTGTACTGCTTTACTGCAGTACTGTACTGCTTTACTGCAGTACTGTACTCCTTTACTGCAGTACTGTACTGTTGTACTGGCAACATAGGCTTCAGTGAAGGAGAAAACAACCTCATTGTCTTGCCTCTACAGGGTCACTGGCATCATGCTCATGTACTGAGTGATGGCTCGATAAAGGACAGTAAAGGGAAGCTGCACCTGGCTCCAGAGCGCTGGCTGGAGTCGATCCTTGGTAACAACATCCCAGTGAGCTCAGCGTACGCCTGGGACAAGGTTAGATGGCAGCCTGAAGAACGGCTACAGGAAACAGGAAACACTGAGTCTAATGGCTGTTCATTGTAGCTGAGGGCTAATGTTCAGGCAGATAGTAACACTTTTGTCCCATGAGACCACTGCTGTGATCCAGAATATACCAAAAAAGATTCAACCTGGTGAGAAGAACAAATTTATACTTTTGATAGCCTCCCCCTAGTTTAAAATCTTGCCTCAGAATATTATAAACCAATTCTGGACTGAGTTTCATTGTTTCACCACCAGGACCTGAAGCAATGTACCCACACCACCTCAGACTTTCCCTCTTTTTGTTTCTTTGTGCTGTGAAGTATTTTGACTTCATATCACCTTTAGCAGAGAAGTGACAAGAAAACAGAGAGGACACGTAACAAAGGCTCCCAGTCAGGATCAAAGGTCGTTAGGATTAGGGTTAGCTGCACCAAGAGGAGCTGTTTAAACTCAGAGCTATGTTTGGACACTACGCCCAGTAATGAGCAGCCTGTCAGTTTGTCCACTTCACAATACTCTGGTTCAGATAGAGTGTATTAACAACTACAGGCCAGCATTACCACTTTACCATGGATATTCATCTTCCCCAGAGGATGAACCAAGATGTTTGGTGACTCTGTGACCTTTGCCTCCCACCATCAGATCAATAAGGAACATGAATGGAAAGTTCCCACAAGGGGAACTCTTCCAGAGTAGCACCACCCAACATTTAGATTCTGACCCCTTTAACTGAGTCAACACGTAGTATCTAAAAAATACTTTACTTTAAAAGTTTGAAAGTAGTTATTGTGTGTATCAAAGCCTGATACAGTAGATGTGACTCCTCTGAGCTCCATTGTTTCTAAAAGCTATTACAACCCGTCAGTGAATCACTGTCTCTGGGGGACGTGTTCCTTTATGTCCCTAACAAAACTACTTCCTCCTGTTTGTTTGTTAAGAACTACAGTGAGCAGCTGTCAGGAAACGTTTTAAACATGAAACTATATATATATATATATATTTATTTTTTAAAGAATTTTTGGGGCTTTTTGTGCCTTTAATGGACAGGACAGTAGAGAGACAGGAAATGGGGAGGCAGAGAGAGGGGAAATGACACGCAGGAAAGGGCCGTCCGATGCAGGAGTTGAACCAGGGGCCAGCTGCAGCAAGGATTGTAGCCTCTATGTATGGGGCGCCTGTGTAACCCACTGAGCTACGCGACGCCCCATGAAACTATATTTTAAAGATCTTGTCCACCAGTGGACCTGGAGCTGAGAGCCACAGGCAGGGCAGGGTCATCAAAAAGCACTGGAGGTGGTCTGAGTATCATTTACAACAAGAGATATAGACTATAATACCTGTCTTAGCCTCTAAAGCATTTCTAAATTTGCGTGATTTGAACAGTAACTTTTAAAATTAAGTACAGAAGCACTGAATAAACCACTGACTTAAATCATTAATAAAGTTTATAATTGTATTAGAGTTTATTTATTTGACACGATTACAAAGTGCATTATAAAAGTCAAACTTTTCAGGGAGGGTACACAGTAAATTGGGAGGAGAGTCGACTCGCAGACCTAACCACTCAGCTCTCAGGTCACCTCACAGTTCACAAACCAGGCAGCACAGTAAAATACAGTCCTACAGTGATATGGTGATGTTAAGTCTTTTTATAGTTTAAGGTTTGACAGGAAGAGCCAGGTTGTTAGTAGAGTTTCCGTTGCTCACGGCTCCAGTAGGATTTAGTAGATTTTAAAAAAATTCAGCACACAGACTTTTGTCCTTCCTCTCTGCTGTTGATGTGGAACAAGCTCCAAGTTCCTGCTGTTTCCTGCATGTCAGGGTCTGTGGAGACAGTCAGATACAGACTGGGCTGTAAATTATTGAGTGTTCACTGTAGAGCAGTAAGTAACCCCCCACCCCCACCCCATTTTGTTTTTTTTTTGGAAGTCGATCTCATTGAAAAGATGAAGGAAGACTAGCATGGTACATGATACAGAGGCCTGTTTAGAGGTTACATGGTGCTGCTGTTTGATTGGCCCTCCATCTCACTGATGAATCATCTTTTATAAACAGACCTGTCCATGTTGTTAAAGATGTTTCTGATGAACTCTTTCACTGTTTGCCCAGGTGACGTTCAGAGACCAGCCCCTGTCCCATTATTTATTGAACATGGAGGCTGAAGGAAACTCAACACAGACAAACCCCAAGGATGATGATCAACACTGCAGGGCTGCTTCTCCTCAGAACGCACTGACTACAGGTCTGTTGTTCCTGACTTATCTAATCCCAACCCACTCCACACATCCTGCTTCTGACACTTCCTTCAGAGCAACTCAAACAAATAAAGAGGGCGGGCAGGCAGCCACTGACGCATGGCTTTCTCTGTGTCAATAATTAATCACTGCCTCATGTGTCTCCCACCTGGACTCTGAGCTTGTAAACAGGCTCATTAAATCGAATTGTTCATTTATTTAAAGATCAAATTCATATGTAAAGCATGGTTTTTAATGTATTTGAATTTCTTTTGTACTTGTGCAGAGGCAGCAATAAACCGTCTAATGAAAATCAGGATCATCCATCTGGTGGACGACAAGGAGCTACTACCAACTTCTGTGATGGACTGCTACTGGGAAATTCTGATAAAGAAAGACTGTTCAGAGTTTGAAGACTGGGGCAGTGAATGAATTTAACATTTTGTTGATAACTGTGTTTGTATCGACAGTTTAACTTGGTGAGTTTCACTCAGTTTCTGACCCATTTAGTTTCGACTTGTGTTAAACAGAAGGTGGAAAAATGTGAGATTTTAGAGTTCATGATGTGTTTGTCTTTTGTTTATTTACATGTTAAGTTTCATGTTGTAACTGTTTATGTCAGATTAACTCAATGTGAAGGTACTGTAGACTGTAGTTCTCTACTGAATGGATACTCAGCTATATTTCTAAACACTGCTCTCAATGTTTCCATGTTGAGTCTACATGTAAGACTGTTAAATGTCATATTTCAGCTGCTTCCAGCTTTGAAACAAATAAAATAAAGATGTAAAGATGTGTGGTTAAAGTTTGAGCTGCATAATGAAATCATGACCCTTTGGTCATATTTATATATAAATATATATGTATATGTGTATATATATATATATATATATATATATATATATATATATATATACACACACACACATATATATATATATATGTATATATATATATATATATATATATATATATATATATATATATACAAACACACACATATATACATATGTGCGTGTGTGACATAGATATATATACATATATGTACATATACTGTATATATACGTATATATATATATATATATATAGATCCAGCCTCGCTGCTGGATCTTCCCCTGTTGAAGAGGGTTAATCATATCATTAGTGAGTAACTGGTGAATGTGTCGGGTGGTGGTGATGTGGTGGATGTGTCCGGCCAGTGGGCGGAGTGCTGCTCCCTGCGGCCACCCCTCTCTGTCGGTCCGCGATGGAGCTCCGGACTCAGCAGATGGGAGTCTGACTTCGGCTCTGTCGTCGTGCTTTGTCTTTACTCATGTGGCGACTTTTGCTCCGTACTGTCTGTTCGTAAAGGTACCGGTACCGGATTTGAAGTAGTCCAGTACTCAGAGCCTCATCATGTGTTTCCTGTTGGAGAGGAATATTTTCAGACTGAGGTGGGATTAATGGAGAGGCAGACCTGAGGAGTGATTCCTGAAACTGCTCCTCACACACAGACTGAAGGTTTCCCACTTTACTGGATCTGTTGAGTCAGTTTCGGTGTTTATTGTTAGTAGGCCTATTATTTCTTTTATTCCTTACACTTACTGGAGAAATGTTCTCATTACATTTAGGTTCTTGTGGAACTGTGCGAGACGTTTGCATGGAGCCGCTCAGAGACAACTTCAGAGAGCAAGGTAATGAGACCAGAACCAGCTACCTGTGTAACTCTGTATTTTATTTTACCTGCCTCCTAAACAGAAAAAAACACCTGAAGTTCAAATGAATTTATGAAGTAAATTATTGAAGGAAAAGAAAGGTTTACCTTCTAGTGAACTTAGATCAAGAATTCCATGCACCTTAAAATTGTAAAGATAACTTTAAAGTGTATTAAACTTATTATTTTTCCACATTTTTATCCTTTTGTTTCCAGAATGAGAATAAGATGTGCTCACTACTTACATAGATTGAGACACAGGTGCTTCCTGTTTGCTCTGTCTCTGCTGGTGGTCTGTCTGCTCAAGCTGGTCTACATTAAAGTGACAGTGAGGGACAGCGTCTACATTGAGCCCTATGGTATCACTGTCAGCATATCCAGAATCCACAACCGCAGGTATGATGTCAACTGCACTGCAATATATGAGCTGGATCCTGTGGAGATCGGCAAAGCTCTGGAGATAAAACAGAAAGTCATTATAGACGTGGATGATGATAGCACTGTGAGTCTGACCTCAGACTGTCAAACATTTATCAAAACGAGGGCCTACAATGAGGTCCCAGTGTCGGACACAGAGAGGAACTTCCCGCTGGCTTACTCTTTGGTGGTGCATAAGAACGCACCCATGGTGGAGCGTATTCTTCATGCCATCTACTCACCTCATAACATCTACTGCATTCACTATGATCAGAAGGCCTCTCCACTGTTTATAAAGGCTGTGAAAAACCTGGCTCACTGTACTCCAAATGTGTTTATTGCCTCAAAACTGGAGTCTGTGGAATACGCCCACATCAGCAGGCTTAATGCCGACCTCAACTGCCTCTCTGACCTGCTTAGGTCGGAGGTCAAGTGGAAGTACGTCATCAACCTGTGCGGCCAGGACTTTCCTCTCAAGTCAAACTATGAACTGGTGATGGAGCTGAAGCAGCTGAATGGCAGTAACATGCTGGAGTCCAGTCGACCCAGTGAACTGAAGAAGCAGCGTTTCCGCTTCCAGCACGAGCTGAAGAACGTGCCTTATGAGTACCGCCGTATTCCCGTCAAAACCACGGTGGCCAAAGATGTTCCTCCTCACGGTATCGAGATGTTCATTGGAAGTGCATATTTTGTCCTGTCAAGGGATTTTGTGAATTACATCAGCAACAGCCAGATGGCGAAGGACTTCCTGATATGGTCTGCTGACACATACTCACCAGATGAACACTTCTGGGCCACGCTTGTCAGGGTCGCTGGGGTTCCAGGACACATCCCCAGGTCCGAGGCGGATGTTACAGATCTGAAGAGCAAGACACGACTGGTGAAGTGGAACTACTTGGAAGGAAACCTTTACCCAGCATGCACAGGTACACACATGCGGAGTGTTTGCATCTATGGAGCTGCTGAACTTCGCTGGCTCCTTAACTATGGCCACTGGTTTGCTAACAAGTTCGATCCCAAAGTGGACCCGATCCTGATCAAGTGCTTGGAGGAGAAGCTGATGGAAAAACGTCAGTATGTGCAAACATGATAGTGAAGAGGAGAGAGTGGTTTCAGTATTTATTATGCGATTAGATAGAAGAAATGACAGAAATTAAAAGTAACAAAGTTCGACTCAATCACAATCAGTTTTGGGATCATGTGAGTATTTTCCTTTTGTTGGTTTCACTGAAAAATATTGAACTTGTTCGTGGACACATTTGTCTGATGGCTTCTAATTACTGTGCAGATTAAGATTTCTCAAGCAAAAACATGAAAGATCATGGGTCATAAAATGTGGATTTCTATACTTAATGCTGTATAGAGGCATCATCTGAACCTCCCAGAATGCATCTGTAATCTGTAACATTGTGAAAAAGACCATTCTTCGAACTCACTTGACGTATTTTACTTTTGTTAACTATTTCTAAAAAATTGATTGCTGGACTTTTACCTGTAATTCATTATGTTTAAGTAGTAGTGAAGGGATTTCAGTCCTCTCTCCAACTCTGCTGGATCATATCATCCTGCTGTAGCAGAACGCTGAACTCGCTCAGCAGGGAGTCTTCATTCATTCCAGTCAAGGTCAGGCTGTAGCTTCCAGTGACAACACATTTCATCAGTAACACAAGCAGGTGAAAAAGTGCCTATGACTAAAATACAATGGGTCATTTCAGGAAGTGCTTTTCTTAAAAGAAGTGCCACGTGATATATAATCATGTAATTACAGTGAGAGAGCAGTACTCTTACAGTGAGATTAGAAATACCAAAGATCCATGTTGTTGTCATGTGTTCTGTAAAGTAAATGTTCCACCAATGTTTTTCTTTTTTATTGAAGAAAACACTTGATTTGACAACAGTTTAGAATGAAATGTTTCAGGGGAAAGCTTTTGATCTCTGATGATTTATTTATTTCAAAATAAAACTATGATGCTTCTTATTGGTTGAATGTCCTGTAGTGGTGGTCACAGGTGATACCCTGTCACAATAATCCGCTGTAGTCCATCACATGTCTGAACGAGCTCTGGCTCATTAATAATAAATTACACACCCATTTATTTAAAGCATTATTTGACACCAGTGGTTGTTTATGCATGAATTAGCTGGTCGCTGTAGTCTATCTTATGTTCTCACAGTAAATGCACAAAGACACTCATGATGTAAACAAGTAAGGCGTCATGTGATGCACATTATTACTGCAGAGGGTGGTAATGCATATTGACAGTGTGTTGGGGGTGATGTGCCAATGAAAGAATATATTCAGAGCATAGACTGTAAATAAAGATGGATGTAGCCTCTGCGACTTCACCCACAGGTTTCTGAAGAGCTGTTTTAGAAGCTCAGAGTGAGCTGCGCTACTGTCACCATCTTGGCAGTGCCTGATTCCGCCAAGCTCTCGGCTAATCCAAAAATGGGCAAAGAGGAGGGGCGGATGTGGAGCTATGACTTCAGTGCATGCCGGGTTGGGGCATACGCTCAGCCAACTGTCACTCAAAGAGGCCACACCCTCAATTATACAGGACTTTAAGTCTTCATAAAAAATTAAATGAGTGAGTTATATGAGAAATTCAACCCCGTCCAGGTGTCATGAAAGAGGAAATTAGCTATTGAGACCAAAACTGTTTTTGTACCAGGCTGTAAACATGTTTATGCTTGGGGATTGACTCACTGTTGGAGACAGACACAACACACTCAGAGACAGCCTGGAGTCAGCTGTAGTGATGGTAGTAGTTGTATAAAGACTTGACAAACAGACTTGATCACTCATTGTTTCCACGGCTCTAACAGTCTATAGCTGGTTGATCCCACACATTCGGAATCATTATAGCTTTGCCGATGTCATTAACAGACGGCTCACGATGTGCAGAGCCCTGTGAAGTTTATATTTTAAAGGCTCATTATTACAGTTTTGTATAAATTGACCAGGTTTCTGAAATCAAAACGGGGACAGTTTCAGTTAAGCGATCAATATATCCAATCCAATCCAATCCAGCTTTATTTATAAAGCACTTTAAAAAACAACCAGAAGGTACCAAAGTGCTGTACATGATAAAATTATAAACACAAGATAAATTAAAAGACATAAAACATCAATAAAAACAGATATATAATAAGAGAAAACAAAAAATAACATAAAATAAGATAAAACAATAAAATAAAATCACATCTTACAGGGTGTCAAAGGCCATGGAAAAGAGATGGGTCTTAAGAAGGGATTTAAAAACAGACAAGGAAGACGCCTGTCTAATGTGCAGAGACAGATCGTTCCACATTTTAGGGGCTGCCACAGCGAAAGCACGGTCCCCTCTGAGCTTGCGCTTCGTTTTTGGCACCCTCAGGAGCAGCTGATCAGCTGACCTGAGAGAGCGGGTGGGAGAATATGGGTGCAGCAATTCAGAGACGTAGGGAGGGGCGAGACCATTGAGAGATTTAAAAGCAAATAAAAGAATTTTAAAATGAATCCTAAAATGTATGGGCAACCAGTGAAGTGAGGCTAAAATGGGGGAAATGTGGCCATATTTGCGTGTGCCAGTTAAAAGACGTGCAGCAGCATTTCAACATTAAAATACCCAATGTTTTAATCTATGACATAAAAAAGAGGGACAGTTCTGTATTTCATGTATTTTTACCATGGTAACTGTTGTACTGTGATAAACTGTGCTGAAGGCCGACTGATAAAACTAGGTCCCTCTTCATACTCCTAACAGTTAAAGATTAATTTAAAAAGACTTAACTTTTTCTTCTACACCAGTCTTTCTTCACTTGTCCTCCTCACCTTGTCCTTCCTCCTTTCCGTCTCCTCCTTCCCTTTTTTCCTTCACAGGTGTGTCACATCAAGGGCTTGAAGTCCTCATCCTGTTTGTCTTTTTCTGTTTCTGGAGAGAAACATCTGCCCTATGAAAACAACACATATAACCCAGGGTCGTATACTGAGTCGTATACTCACATACTGAGGTCTTTAATAAGTGGGACTACTTCAGGTTGTATTGGCAGTATTTATATAGGCAGTATAATATAAAATAATGTTAAAGTAACAGACATTCCTGTCTGGTTACTTCACACAAATCGATATCAGTGAGGTTCGACTTAATGACACAAACATTATTCCCTTGATGAAAGAGGATTAACTGCAACACTGTTGGATTAGACTGCACTAGTTTTACCTGTGGGGACCTAATTAACATTTATTACTTCCTCATACATCACCATTGTCATATCAGTTTACATTTGTCTCTAAAAAGGCTCTGCAAAGGTTTTATGAGGTATTAAATGTACCCGGTTTTTTATTCAGGTTTAAGGATATACACAGTGCAAGTTGCTGGTTGTTTACAACAGGGCACCTTTAACAGTATTCCAGTTGTATGGGACCAGTTTAATGGGCCCTGCTAGCTATGTAGATGTAAATCATGATATTTTTCATGTACAGATCTTTTGGTTCTTCCTGCGTCTCATCCTAAGTTCATTTAACTGTGGAAAGTGGTGTTTTACTGATGCCTGAACAGGACTGACATAAACTATATCAGATAGTGTGGGGAGGTGGAAGCTTGTGAGGCACCGTTACTCAGGGTGCTTAAGCTCTGACTCCTCAGTCTGTCAGAATATACCACACAGGAAAAACACTTGGCTTAAAGACAGACTGGTGTTTTACACCTCCATTTGTCAGAGATGGAGAAGATTATTCTAGAGGCAAATTTTCAGACAGGTGAATGGTTCCCTCTTGATTTTACAAGTTCTTTTTTTAAGCCTTTAGTGAAAACCTGTATTTTATTCTGCATACTGCAGTGATGGCTGCAGTTGATGAGCAGGTGCTCGGACAGGCTAAAATGGGATCATGTCGTTGTACAACACAAAGGATGCGGTGCAGCAGTAGTGTAGCAGCAGGTGGAGGCTGCATAGAATCAGCTTGTGTTCCTGTCTGCCTGACTGGCTGTAAATACTTTAATCAGCCGTTATCTCTCACAGGAAGACTTTAAAGGACAACATGGAAGAGGTGTCAAATGGCTAGCACCTTAGCTGACTTCATTATGAAAAGGCTTCAGCATTTATGAATCCTCGGTACATACATACATATTACAAATACACATACAGTGAAATTAATATTAATTTATTGGGTAAATGGCTGTGATGTTCCTTGATGTGTTGTGATTACACAATGTGTTGTTTCCGATTTTACAGTATTCCCTCCAGACACAGGTCACAGGTAGTGACGGTTAAAGGGATAACATTTACTGGTCATGAGGAGGTCTATCAACCTGTGCTAACGTGTATAATGTTTGTCAGTTTAGGGACAGAAAGCCTGCAGGATGTGGGTGTTTACCAGGATTAAGGATCTAATGAAAATACACAAGTAGCATCAACATGTCTGTCTGTTTAAGGAAATAGCTTTTCAACTGAACACAAGCTTCTGTACAGCTACTAATAAACCTCATGGTGAGTGTTTGTCAACCCACTGATGATATATTTTCTAATCTCCTCATTTCTTCGTTATGAAATGCGTCACTACAAAAACCCTGTACAGATCTGTTACAGCACAGCACCCTGAGGTGGAGAGTCAATGCTCTTTTTTAACAGAAGGTATCATTGGAGTGGATAAACAGTGGCTAGTCACCAGTGGCCTCATTTTGGTCCTCCTCTCCTATACTGGCCTGCTCCTCACAATAAACTCAATTCATGGCTGCTCTGCAGAGCAGAAGGGTTGTGGAGGACAGGAGAAATCTGAATACGAAACCTCTGCCCCCTCCTACGTGTCTGTCTATCTGCAGGTATACAATGGACAATAAGCATCATTCTTTCTCTGTGCTCTGGTATTTTGGACACAGTCCAAGGTGAGCTGTTTATTTTTTCTTTTACCCAGGCTCATTAAGATCTCTTTTCCAAAAGAGTTGCTGTGTCATCTTCCAGGTCTGTGAATTTATGACTCAGTTTCAGCATGAGCCAATTAATACTTCCTGGACATTTTCATTTAATTTGTGATTTGCTTTGTAGCAGTTTTTGGCTTTAAAAATCAAGATGTCCAGAGCAACCTTCCCCACCCAGAGTAATGACATTATGGCTCACTCTTCCAAGATTGTTATGCGAAGATGAGATCATTGACCAAATGCCCAGTGGACTTCAGCCAGTTGGCCGGCTTTCCAGTTCCAACAAATTTCGACCAGTGTATCACATCTACAGGACTTTCCTTCACAGTCCTTATTCCTGCCTGGTCAGTACACAGCTCACATGTTTTTACTGTGGAAAAAAAACTTTTAAAAAACCTGTAAAATCACCACAGCAATTTGGTCTTCATCTCAGTAATCAGTGTGTTTCAAATACTCATATGTTCATACAGTAGCTTCATCTCAGGTCTCAGTCTGTTACAGCTCCCACCAACTCTCTTCCACATCACTGCTGGGTTTCCCAGGAATGTCACTCAAAAACATCCTGTATAAATTAAACACTGGGCTCATTTCCACCTCTTTATCCTCCCTAAATACATGACAAAATACATCATTCGTATTTTGAGAGTTTCACAATGACACATTTTCTGATCTGACATCTCTGTGTCTGAAAATATAAACTGTCATTATACTGAACCTATTGTGCATCATTTTCCATTTTTCAGAAGTGGAACAAATAGCTTTGGGACATGTTTGTGGACATATCAAACACCTCTGTGTGGTTTCCATGGCAGCCAGTGACTGATATCAGTGCCCTGCCGCAGGTTTGACTTCCTGTGATCTGACTTGGTTAGAGTTAGGGAAGGATTGTGTTTGTGGCCTTCTTTGCTTCTGATAGACAGACACAACTGCTGCAACCATTAGAGGAAAATATTTATTCAGCCATGTTTTTAAATGAATCAATTTTTTTTTTTTAATTTTTCAGGTTTTTACATTTTTTCGGTCACTACATGGCCCTGACCCGAACAGTGAATAGAGGAGGGGACCAGGACAATTAACGCATTTCTCTGTTACTCAGAGACAGTTTGGACAAGACCAACCAAACTATTACATATTGCCCTTACATCTCTCTGCTAATTACC